CAGACAAGACAAGAGAAGATGTTCAGGTGGAAATAGAAGAATGAACTATGAAGACAGCGGAGCGCCATAAAGACAGCTCACTATTCAAACACATGACACTTGAGTTAGACCTGCAGCTTTACTAGACTAATGTTTTATCAACTAAACTTTTATTCATCTATTGTTTATCTGCCTATGACGTTAAATCAGACAAGGGTTGGCCGAGAGCTAGAGTCTCGGTCTTTCCTGTCTTTTGTGTTCACTACCCATAGCTTGTAGCACACACCTGACTCTGAGCTTGACTTGACACGAGCAGAGTTGGGAATCTGAATACTTTCATGCCATGTCTGCTATCTGCATTGTTGACTAGAGCAACATGATGATGAGTCCAAACGGCTCTTCCACGAATGTCACCATCATTGACCCATTTACAGTCACTTCCGCTGTTTGGTCAGTAAACGAACACTTGTGGGGGTTGGTAGCCGTTTAGGGACGCATTAACCATCAACGTGAGAAAAATACTATCCAGACTTTTTCTTAATTAGTTTTTTTTTAAATCAATATTCATGAAATTACAATGGGCACCTATTACTGCTGGGATGAACTCATGATGCAAAACAAACAATGATATAAAGGTTTATAAAATAGTGTTTGCATGAACCACTATAAAGTTCTTGAAACTTAAGCTGTTTAAAGATGGACACAATCGACTTGGACAAGTTGTTAGCTCAATAATAAAGTCAGAATTAAAGTTTATTTCTCCAAACTGAGGTTGGTCGAAGTGCTATCTACAACAGATAAGATACTACTGTATTTTCCACCGTATAAGTCGCATCAGTCCAAATATGACTAATAAAGTGAAAAAACACATAAATAAGTCGCTTTATCGTAAAGTTGAATCTATTATGCGTCAGCGCTGACGCGTTGTTTGTTAGTTATGCGTCACCACTGACAACCCAGAAATGTGGGCCTGTGTTGTGCCAAAAATCTATTGGCTGCTAAGTGACGGCCGTGGGAGCGTACATGGGAGGACTTTAACAAGAATTTAACAAGATAACCACCTAAAAACAATTATTTGTTTGCTCGAAATGATAGTAAAGGTGTGTCTCGGTCTAACGTTTCCTTAATAAGTGAACTTTGACGGTCAAAACAACTGCATTTCAAAAGTAGATTCGTAGAAGCGGGAGCGTGCAAAGGGACAACTCGCTGTCCATTTCCTCGAAATTTAACAAGATAAGCACCTAAAACAATTATTTGCTTGCTCAACATTATAGTAAAGGTGTGTCTCAGTTGAACTTTTACTTAATAAATACACTTTTATGGTCAAATTAGCTGCATTTCACCGGGGCGGCGCAGCGAAATGAAGCTGATTTGACGATTGCTCCAGGCATGATCCCAGAGCTGGACAAAGGTGGCAGGTTATGGCAAGCCGATTGTGTCATTAATTTCCACTTTAACTATTACATGACACAATGGCATGCCATACTACTTTGCTGCCATCTAGCGGCTGAAAATGTTAGTCAATATTTTCAGTCAGAATGAATGAAAGCAGTCGTATCGAAGTCAAAAATTGGTTTATAACTAGGGAAAATAAAAACATAAATAAGTCTCTTATAGGTCGCAGGGTATGTACATTTTGCAAACAGGTGCGACTTATAGGCTGGAAAATACGGTAGTTATCCACAACCTTTTGTTTTCCAGAAACACACTTCAAAAGATCTGATTTAACCCTAAAGACTGACTATGGACTCATTAAACTGTTTTTATTGCACTGCTGGATCTGACAGTTTTTACAAATTAAAAATCTGGAATATTATGTTTCGTTTAATATGCAACAGTTTTTCATTCCTGAAGTTATGGGGAGTGCTCAATATGAGCACCTAATCTTTTTCCATGTGTGTGTTGGTCGTCACAGAGGAGTGCTCCGCCAAGTCTTTTTTATTTTATTTTGATTTTTTTTGTTCTAATATCATTTTACAGATGTTGGGTCAAACAGAAAACAAGTTATTCAATGAGAAATATAAAAGTACAGAATTTTAAAATTTGCTGTCTTCTCTTTTTTTTTGCGTAAACTGCAGCAGTTTGTCATGAAGACATATGTAGATCTAGCTTTTGTTTTTTTTTAAGACTAGAATTGCAGCAAAGTGTATACATTTTTATTTACTTTATTGTATTTTTTGTGAAGTCTTATTGCCTTTGCTTCGCCTCATATTGTTGCTTAGTTTTGTTTTTTAACTTGGCTAAAGTTAAGCATTAAAAGTTGAATAGTTTAAGCGTGGTGGTGCAGAGGTTAGAGAAGATGGGCCTGTGATCGGAAGGTTGCTGGTTTGACTCCCCATACGACAACATTAAAATGTGGGTGGTAAAGGTGAATCACCCACACCTGCCTCCGCCCTCATTTGCCCCACTCTGGGCCCTTGAGCAAGGCCTTTAACCCCCACCATCTGCTCCCCCAGGCGTCCTAGATAGCAGCTCTCTGCTCCACACAGAGGGCTGTGGTTGCGTCAGGAAGGGCATCCGATGTAAAACCAATTGCCAAATCTTCATGTGAGTTAGTTCACTGTGGCGACCCCTGAAGAAGGGAGCAGCCGAAAGAAGAAAAACTTAATAAGTTTAGGCATGTATTAATAATAATAATCAAATCATAATCTGTTTTAAGCCATTTTTCCTGTTACCACCTTGTGAATGGCTGTTGCTGCAGACTATTTATTTTTTCTACACTTACACAACCAGCAGCTGCTGCAGGTCTGCAGAATACAAATGTCATTGTTTGAAATTTCAAGTTTCTGCCTAACGTTGTCCAACATGAGTAGCTTTCAAACTGCTGAAGAATGCAAGGATTTAACATTTGATTCCCTTTAGAGGAAGAATCATTTTGCATTTTAATGTTTCTTTAGTTGACAACTACTAAATTAAAAGTTGCACCAAAACTAAACCAGTGCAATCAGAAAGTCGATGTAATTTTTTTAACGTGCTGTTTTTATTACAGTTTTCCCACCGTCGTCTGTTCTCTGTGTGTATTAAACTCCTTAGCCAGACTAATGAATTTTATTAGGCCGAGGGCGATCCAAATGGCTGGATTTTGGTTATTAGTGCGTCCCTCCCATTATGTCTGTCTGACAGAGCAGCTCTCACATCGCAGCCCAGACAGGCATTTGGCATTGACTCAAAATGTCCAGACATCTTACTCACAGCCCCATTGTTTCATATCCCTTTCGGTGCGCAGCACAAACCGCTCAAATGATGAGTTTTAGACTGAAGAAGGGAGCACACGCTAACAGATGGGCTGCAACAGGTTTAGATGCTAAATATGTTTTAAGTGTTATTATTATTGTTACTCTCCAACCTGACATGAGGAAGAATGCAGGAGAGAGCTTCAGTGAAACATGAAAAGAGACATAAAATTATCTTTTTTAATCTAGATCTTTCACTTCCATTGTGTGTTTTAGCTGCTCCTGTTTAACTAAATTACTTTCTCATGTTTTGTCTCTGTATATTAGACACATAAGCAGAAAAGTTGATGCTTTAAATGTGCATTCCAGACGTTTTTAAGTGTTATTTTATGGAAAAGTTATGTATAATTAATATCTTACCTGTTGCACACAGTTAATAATTGTCAAAAAGATTGCTGCCTCAGCTTTAATGACATTTTTCATATATGATCCCAATTCTAAAAATATTTTAAAAAAATTTATCATGCAAATACGAAGCCATATAAACAACATTTAGAAACGCTGCCATCTTTTAAATAAGTCAAAGCTTATTTAAAAACAACTGAGGCAAAGTGGGAAACTGTTTTATGGCCAGACAAGTCAAACTTTGAGATTTGTTTTTAAAACTACAGACACCATGTCCATCGTACTAAAGAGGAGAGGGACCAGCAAGCCTGTTGTCATGACGCTAGTCAAAAACCTGTCTCTCTGATGGTATGGGGTTGCATTAGTGCCTTTGGCATGGGCAGCTTACTCACCTGAAAAGCCACCTTCAGTGCAGAAAAATCATTGTGTAATTGCCAAGGTCAGTTTCCTTTATATAAGATGTTTAAGAACAACAAGGTTGACCAAAGTGCTTTACAAGATGGTTAAAAATAAAATGGGGATAAAAAACAACAACATCAACACATGAATACCGCTAGAATAGGCTAAAAAAATAACTTAACAATGAAACACTACGACAAGAACATTTTGATGGACCTTCAACTGAACTCCCAATTAAAAGCCAATGTTAAAAAGAAAACATTACCACATGGTGATAACACAGGGGGGAGTGTTGATGAGTACAAGGCTCTGTCATTGAGTAAAAGAGCAGACTGGATGCTGTAAAACATATCATTGTTCTTCCTCTGTTGATCATAGTTAGCTGCAGGAAAACGTGCATTCATCATTGCTTGGCACAGAACGGGCTTCACAGTCCAGGATACTGCAGCTAGTAAGAGTGGATGTATGATTTTTGAAAAAAAATTGTCCTAAAAATATGTAAAAGTATATTGAAGAAACAAAAAAAAGAAAACATTACGTACAATGTTTAAAACTTCTTTTATCTTAATTCAAAGGGCTAGTTATGGTAAATTTGAACCTTTTTCATAGTCTGGTAGTTTTTTAAAAGCATAATTTGATTACTAATAGTCAAGTTTTATTGTTGTGGGATCATTAATCGGTAGCTCTGTGTTATCTTTCTTCCTCCAGTCTCATTCTGCTCTTCCTGGGGAGTACTGTGATATTATAAATCATTCAAAGGTTCGCACTTTGCTTGTGATGCTTCGTCACAAACTGTGATGTTCAGGGTCACTCTCACACAAACTCACACACAGGCTGGAAAATCCCTCTGAGCCTCTCCATCCTCCTCTTCCGTTCTGTCTGTGTCCTCGGTGTGTTTTCCAACGCATCCTTGACCTGAAACTTGATTGTAGCCTCTGAGTGGAATTTATTGATAGAATATTAGCTGGTAATCTGTTTACTTGAATCCTAATTATTTGTATGATTGATTAATAAGCATCTTTTTGTTTGTTTTTCTTCTCTTAGATACATTGGAAAATCTGACTCAATCACTATTAGCGTGTGGAACCACAAGAAGATTCATAAGAAACAAGGAGCTGGATTCCTGGGCTGCGTTCGTCTTCTGTCCAACGCCATCAACCGCCTTAAAGACACGGGCTGTAAGCTTTACTTTCACCATGCTTACCTTGACTGAGAAGAGCTCAGGGGAATGGTTTTATTTAGACAGGCCTTTTCTCTGTTTTTCTGTCTGATCTCAAGTGGAGAAGTGATGATATGGCAACTTGAAATATATGCCATCATGTTAAGCTGTAGGATGTTAGAGGTGAAAGGTTTAAATAGAAACCTGTCGTGATGATGATGATGGCTATAATAACAGCATGAGCCATTGTTCTGAGTAATTTTACATACTAGTTAAATAAATCTAAAACAGCATCATACTAATCCTTGGTACCAGACCTTAATTGCTTTATCTTTTTATCAGCTATTCGTTTGTTGTAAAATTTCTGCTTGGGAATTTAATAATTTCAAATTAATTGAATTTTATGTGATTAGAGATGGTGTGATACATGTAGAGTGAATACAAATAAGCATTTCTCATTGCAGACTTAAATGTAACTTTTTTTAAGTTTGTCTGTACTTGATTTGTCTCAGAGCATCTGTGGCTTTTTACTCATTTCTGTCCATCATTTTGGTGTTTGTGTCATGTTGAGTTTGTTTAATATTTATTTTTGCGTACAAGCAATGGGAGTTTATTTTACCAAGACATGAAAAGTAATTTAGTTGGTTAAAGTTTGTTAAAAAAAAAAAACGTGTTCTTTTTTTAAAAAATAAAACTACAGGGTATTTTAGGTTTAATGTAAAAATAATTAACCCTTTTATCGTCCTTTAACTTTATGACCATTCATGTTCCTTAGGGGAAAAGTCGAGCACCTTATTTAACTGCTTAAAATACTTTTTTATGTTGTTTTTACACAAAAAAAAAAAAAACTAGTCAGTCTTTTAAAACGATCTCAGCCTGCAATGAAAAATGTCAAAATTAAATGAATTCATAAGGAATTCAGTGTAGATAACTTGCCATGGTGGGTCGCTCATCTCGTCGATTGGGGGGGGTTCAGTGTGAGGGTTCAGCATGAGAGAGGAGGCTGCCTTTAGCTTTTTAGCTAGCGCACCTGTATTGCAAGCTGCTAGCTTAGCGTTACGTCAGTGCTGACAGGTGAGTTGGTGTGGGGGGTGCACGCAGTTCTGTAGTCGGGGCACTCGGTTCTGTTAACGGGATGGGGCGCCCCGCTTGTATAATGTTAGGGGAAACACTGGAATTAGTTGTTCCAGACCCTTCACTTTATCTATAAATCATCCTTTGATGATAACATTTGAGAACCTCTGTGCTAGAAGATAACAGCATGCTAGCTAGGGATGGGGCCGATCCAATCCAGTGTCTGTATGGGGTTCTGATAACAACAATAAGATCAGAGGTTTCTGAGCCATGTCTGGATTTAAAGTTTTCTGCTGAAATTGTTTTTTTTTTTTTTGTTTGTTTTTCATTCAACCTTTATTTATACAGATTAATCCCACTGAGCCTCGTGGACTCATTTATATTTAAATTACTAAACAAGTGATTCCCTGCTGACCGCTCTGCTAGCTGGCTGCAAACTGTGGAATGGATTACCTGAACGGTGGCGTGTCTCATGATACACGGAGTAATGACAAGCCTCCGTTTAGGAAATCAGTTCCACAGTTTGCAGCCAACTACCAGGTGAGCACTGAGCAGCACTGTGGCTAACAAACTTTTCATCCCGATATAATAATGTCCACTGTGTGGAAATATTTTACACTAGAAACACCACAAAGCAAGACAGCAACGTGCAATGTTTGCAAAGCTGTTGTACCGACAGGCGGAAGCTCCGTCACAACCTACAATACAACAAACTTAATCAAACATTTGAGAAAGCACCACTTGAAAGAGCACAAGGTTTTTTTTTTAGCCAGCGGCAGAAAGACAAAAGTAGCCGGCAGGAATTACTTCTGGACTTATTCCAGAATCAAGGTAAACTTCCACCAGACAACGTGAAAGCTGAAGGGATTACTGAGAAGTTGCTTAACTTCATTGTTCTCAATGACCAACTTTTATCGATTGTAGAAAACAAAGGATTTCACATTCACCTAATTTGTGCTAAGCAGATGAGCTGAAGCGGTCCTTTGTATTTTATTTGGAGAGGGGTAGTGTTAGGAGAAGTTTACCCTTTATGGGTATCTGTCTTGGATTTAATAATTACCGACAGGCAATTTGAAACCCTTACAGTTGCATATTTGTTTTCAAGATTTTTCCTGTTAACAGGATTTCCTGTATTTCTGACCTTATACTTGCCTTAAGTTGCCTTTTGGGACATACATGCTTACATTCATACATATCATACTTGCCTGTAGAGAGGAGTTTATTACAGCCTCATCTAAAATCAACAATAATGATAATAATAATATTAAAGCAAACAGAGCTCTGGTATCGGAATAGTATCGGTATTGGCAGTTATCAAAATTCAGGTATCAGGATCGAATCTGAAGTGGAAAAATGTAGTTTAGTACATTCCTAATGCTAGCATAGTGCTACTTTTGTACGTCTGTTAGGGTCATAGTCTCAGAATGAGGTCAGTCCTTCAGCTTGGGCCCTACATCATAGATGCACTGACGCCACGCTCCACTCAAGACCCTGAAACACTGCCACCATGATAGTAAATCACCACAACCTCACTAAGGACATTTTGTGCACCCTCTAAACCATATGTGTCAAACTCAAGGCCCAGGGGCTGAAGGTGGCCCTTGTTGACATCTTATCTGGCCCCCAAGATGATATGCAAAACGTAAAATACTTCTATCTCTTGAATTTCTTCAGTAATCTTTGATGTCGAAAGCACAACAGAGAACATCAATTGAGACCAATCAAACTCTTCTTGAGGAACCTGTGACCAAGAAAAGATGTTGGGTGTCTGATTTGAGTTAATGTAGATTCTGAAATTGGCCCTTAGTTTGAAAAAGGTTTTAATTTTGGCCCCTTTTTCTAAGTGAGTTTGACACCCCTGCTCTAAACCCTCCATGACATATCATGTCTAATTGGGAGCCCACTGTGTACTTACCGCACTTGCCACCGTAAACGTCACACTGCCATATATGTTGCATCAGTACAAATATGTCTAAGGTGAAAAAAAAACATAAATACGTCGCTTCGCCGTAGATGTGGCATCTATTATGCATCACCGCTGATGCGTTGCGCTTATTATGCATCACTGCTGACAACCTGGAAATGTGGGCTGGTGTTGTGCCAAAAATCGATAGGCTGCCAAATGGCAGCCGCTGGAGTGTGCATGGGAGGACTTTAACAAGAATTTAGCAAGATTAACACTTAAAAACAATTATTTGTTTGCTCAAAATTATAACAAAGGTGTGTCTCAGTCTAACTTTTCCTTAATAAATGCACTTTGACGGTCAAGTCAGCTGCATTTCAAAAGCCGATTCGCGGCTGTGGGAGCATGCACAGGAGGACTTTAACAAGAATCTAACAAGATAAATGGTTGATCCCACTTAAGTCCAAAGGATGGAGTCTGCAGTGGAAAATGAAGCAAGAATGATTTGTAGAACTGTACGGCACCGTACCATGTGATGGAAACATGCCATTCATGTCCTGTCCCACTCACTGTCTGACAGAGGCCAGACCAGAGGGTCAGCTGTCTGGCCCTGCCAGTACAGGAAGAGACATTCAACTTCACCCTGCAATTACAGTAAAAATGTCTCATGTCAGAAACTAGCTGCAAGAATGACATGGAGGCTGTAGAAACGTCTCCTTATATATATATAAAAAAGCTGTGCCAGACAGTTTTAGCAACAGCGCAGCAGTCTGGAGTTGTTTTCCTTCATGGTGAGCTGGTACCTGCTCTGTGAACCCGCGGTTACTTAGGCTGAACTGGGAAAGGATCCTGTAACTTTTCCTAGAAACACTGTTGTTTTCCTGAAGCGACACAGGAAACCTAAAGCTTGTGCAACAGCTGTGAGCGCTTTGCGTTTGCATTTCCTTTTTTTTTTTTCTCTCCTCGCCCTCTCGGTTTCCACTCGCGTCTCCTCCGTGGACTGGCAGCTTGTGTGCGCTCACACAAACCAAATGCCAATGTGACTAATCTCTATCTCCATCTGCCTATCTAGACAAGCAGTCACTGTAGACAGACATACATAATTGTGCAGCTCTTTAAGTGTAAAAGTAGATTTGTAGTTTTCCCTCTGTTGTGGTCTTTATCATTCTTCTTTTTTTCTGTATTTGCAAGCGTATTGTCCCCTCCATAATTCTTGGAAAGAGCCTCGACTATGACATTTGTGTATAATTGCAGAGTGTCTTTTCTTGACTACAGTGTTTATGTATAATTGCAGAGAATTATTGTTTCTTGTTTTGATCTATATGACTTGGCAAGTATGTTCTTTCACTAAACATGCACATTTCAACTGTGTGTGCATTTTCTGTTTTCTCTGTGGCCGCTGACCTCCGGCCAGCTTGTAACGCTTTGACCGTTGCCTGTTTTGGTCCGTGTTTAGTCTAGACAGACATCCTGACCTGATCTGCGTGACACCCAGACAACAGAGAGCAGATAGTGGCATTTCTCATGTCTGCAGGCAACTTGGACATATTTTGCTCACTCGGTCTTTTTCTTCCTCCCACTTTTTGAAATTCCTCAGACTTGAAGAAGTTAGGACAAAAAAAGTTTCCAGACTTTGGCAGGAGTTCGTCTCCATGCTAAGTCTGAGCGGAATAGTGCGAGCTTTGTGTTGAGATTTGTCGAATGTTTGACCCCTCCATTTGAACTGAAGCCCGCTCTGTACTGATGCTCAGGGAGATTTTTACGGCCTGTGGCTGTTCCACGGAGCGGACCATCTGTTCCAGGGCACAGCCAACTGTGGTCTGTAGACTGAAGAATGAGTGATGTAAAGGATACAGAGCAATGGGACTCATTCAAGGGAGGAAAAAATCCAAAACACGCTATTTCACTATTTTACATGCGTCTTTCTCACGTGAATATTGCCTCCTTTCATTCGTTTTTACTTCTTTCTTTTTTGTCTTGTCTTTTTCCCATCCCTTTGCTTTTGCGCTGACCACACTTCTACCTTTTCTTTTTTTTAACAGACCAGAGGTTAGACTTGAACAAGCTGAGCCCCAACGACAGTGACACAATCAGAGGGCAGATTGTAGGTGAGTTTATTCATGACACCCAGCAACAAAATTAAATTAGGTTTTTACAACAAAATCAAGTCATACGTAATTCTTTATGAACACCTTTCACAGATTTAGTTGTAATAACAACTGGAGCTGATCCTGTGTTTAATTTGTGGTTTATTATTTTATTTTAAAGCATAAAACTGCACATTCAGTATATTTGTACATTCTATATGCAAATAGTAAAAAGAAAGCACATTTTCATTTAATTCATTAGTGCATATTAATAGTAAAATTCTAGTCCTTACCACAGATTAACATTGAATTTACCTTCATATTAAAACATGAGTTGCTATCTAAAATGGACAGGCAGTGTGACAAACACTAAATAGACTCTTATTGCTTCCATAAGTCTAAAGTGGGTAAGTAAACTCCAACTTCTGAAAATAAAATGCACTGTTTAAAGTTTAAGTGTGATCTTCACTGTAAAAGCAGAACTTTTCCTCTTGAGCATACAGCTGTGTGTTAACACCATGCCAAGAAGGAAAGACATCAGCAGTGGCCTTAGAGAAGCAACTGCTGCCGCCCATCGACCTGGCAAGATTTGTAGGTCCATTTCCAAACAGTATGGAGTTTATCCGTTTACAGCAAAAAGGATTACAGTAGTCCCTCGCTACTTTGCAGTTTGTTTATCGCGGACTCGCTCTATGGCGGTTTTTCAAAATAAGATTGGACATGACACACAATTGACTGATTGATGGATGAGCCACATGATTGGCAAGGAATTTTTATTTAAAATAAATAATTTTAAATTAATTAGCACCTGCTGCACATTTGTGCAGCTCACACAGCAGGACAAACTTCCTGCTGCAGCTGATCAGCTGTTCTGTGCAGAGCGGAGAAGTGGGCGTGGCCAAGAGCGCTTGCTGGTGGCAAAGAGCAGACGAGGCAGGAAGCTGAAATCATGACATTCTGTGCTCTTTTAGAGCGTTTAGAGTTTAGAAACATTGTGTAGAATATTGCTAGAGTGTGGGAAGTGTTTAAAACGCCTTAATATCTATATATATAAATACTAACACTACTACTTACTACTTGTACTACTATTCTTATTTTGCGGTTTTTCACTTATCATGGGGCTTCAGGGTACGGATTCCTCGCGATAAACGAGGGACTACTGTATTCACAGCTAGAAAACATGTAAGACAGCTCCCAGTCTTCCCAGTAAAAGATGCTTCAGCAACTTCACATCAAAGTCAGAACGTGCAATGATCAAAGAAACAGTAAAAAAAATAAAACCAAGAGTTCCATCTTAAAGTTTACAGGTCTCAGTGTGCAGGTTAAATTTAACCCCAATCCTCTGATTGATAGATTATGTCCCGACCGCTGAGTCAAAGCCTGGGTTGTTGGTAAAACAAGGAGAAAGATTTTTGTCAATAAAAATCACTTAAGTTTGTGAATCTGTGTCAAAACAAACTTTTAAGACTTATGGATAAATCTCTTGTGAAGCAACAAGACCAAAGATGATGTATGGCCTTAATGCACAAGACCATGTCTTACTAAAACCAAACACCTCAACTGTCAGTCACGGTGGTGGAGGGGTGATTAATGAATTTATTTTTAACAGCAGAACTTTGACACCTGTGGTACCATCATGACAGTTTATTCCACCATGGTAGATGTAGTTTGCTATGGATTACATGGATTAACGTTCTCCATCGCCACAATGGATTGCCGTCATTTTGAACGTGACCAAGACAGACTTCCATCATGGGTAAAAATGAGGAGTGGAAAGAAAATGTGTTTTGTTGTGGTCCTGGTAAAGCCATCCAATCTAATGATGATACAGGGATTAAACTGATGCTGCTTTCTAACAGTAAAGAGAACCAGAACCACAGGGTGACCCAATCAGAGCAGGACAGGTCCTGCTGTATGGTTCACGGTGAGCCCAGGTGTGAGCAGCAGAGAGAAACTGCAGATGGAAGCTCACCTGCAGCAAGCCGATGAGGACACACAGCTACCCTAACCTGCCTCTTCATGAAGGTGACGACATGTAATAAATTATTAAACATCTTTGAACGTGACCAGTTCACTGCAGCCGGAGGAGATACCAGAACTGATACACCATCATCTCCAACCCCTCCTCCCGCACCGCGCCCCAACCTCCTCGGGACTTTTGTATCTAAACTCTCACTCGTTATTAAACATTAACGTGTCCTGAGCGTCGTCGTCATCGTACAGACATGCAACCTGCACACGTGACCGAACTCCAGGTCAGAGTGAGACGTGCACCTCCACGGGAGCGCACAGCCTGTTGAGTTTCTCACAGTGAGAGAGGCTGTTTCTGCTGCTTTAGTTTTTCTAAATAAATATTAACGCTAAAAGACAAATATTTATGTCCCAGATTATAGCAGAGATGTGTGTCTCGGTTTAGTTTTAATTTTCTCCCAAACTCACGAAGTTCTCTCTGAAATTCAGTTTCAGGTGTTTGTAGTTTATCACAAATATATATAAAAAACATAATTTCTACATGGTATTACAGCATTAACAAGATGTTTTGGCTGTTTGGATGAGCTGTACTTGATTATATTTAGAAACCTCCTGAGAGGCAACTGTACTGTGATAAATGTAATTTAATAAATGAGCAAATGTGAAAAATAAATGGCATTAAAAGACTACATGAGGTGAAATCCTATAAATACAAATCTAACAAATAAAAAATAAATCTCTTTTAATGAAATCATTTTAAGGGAGATCCGTCAATCTAGCTAATTATTTTTTTTTTATAATTTATACTCTGCAAAGGAAATTTTGTGCTATAATTTCTTTAAAAACATATCTGACACCCTTCAATTGAAAACACTGAAATGACATAAAAGTAAACTAAAGAAAAGTTGAAACCGTCTCTTTTTTCAGAATCATGTTGGTCTTGATGGTGCACGTTAAAGTCTTCTTACAACTTCATCGCTTCATTAGAGAGCACTATACTGTGTACTTGTACTAAGGTCATGTACACACTAAACCAGAGGTGGGCAACATTTTTTTCCCCAAAGTGCCACGTCAAGACGTTTAAAGCAATCAAAGGGCTGCATAGAGAATTGGAAAATAAATTTTCTTTACGACAGATAATCTATAAAACCTTTTTCACATTGTAGCATAGTTAGCATGCTTTATAAAACAAAATCCTTTAGGGCCATAAGATATATTTTGTAAACTGGCTCTTTTGACTATGTATTACACGTTGGCTTAACATGTTATACATGTTAGCAGAACTATGCAAAACAAACACGTATTTGTGTTTCTAAGTCTTTGGTGCACTTTGATAACCTCCAGGTGTAAAAAACAATTCAGTCAAAATGTTTTTTTTCTGCTTTAATCTCTGGGATTGTGTACATTTACACACATTTAGCCTAGAGTTAGTACATGTAGTCTTGTGGATATTTTTCTTAGGCAAAGGCCCAGGTGAGATTATCACACTGGACTCAGAGTTCTGAAGTCTGAGCCCAGATCGTGAGTCGCAGCACGATGCGCCTCACACCAAACCTCCATTTAAGTCTTGTTGTCAAACGTTAATGTCTCGGGGCAGGACTTTCACTTTAGGATGGAGGCAGTAAGGAACCTGGAGAAGACAGCCACGTCCAGACCAGAGTCTGGTTCAGTTAACAAGACGAGGACAAGGGAAAAGAGAAAATTACACAGACAACAGGAGAGCGTGCCTCGTACAAGAGCCCTCAGGAGAGCGACAGACCAGCAGGCGAGCTTTGTTTGTCCTCCTGACAATTCGTTCGACCTGTGGCTGCAAACGAGACAATTCTCTTGCTCCTTATTGGAGAAAATTTCCCACTTTTCACGAAGTCGCAAAGAATATTCTTCTTTATTTGGCCTTGACTGTCTAACAGGTTCCTTACTGCCTCCATCCTAAAGTGGAAAGTCCTGCCGTCCTGCCCTGTATGTTTAAAGTGAAAAAAACACGATTTCCCTGCAGACACTAAAAGTATAAATACTATATAAAATGTAGTTTTATACGGCCAGATCTTTCACTGTGCCTTTGATCACATTTAACCCTTGCCTGTTAATCATAAATATACATTTCTTCACTTTGTGTTTTGATCAAATCTCTGTGCCATGGCTGTGATCTGCTGTCTAGTAACACTAGTACATGCATTTGTCTGCCATGTGTTCCTGAAGTGAGCCTGCAGTCACGGGACCGGATAGGCACAGGAGGTCCTGTGGTGGACTGCAGTCGGCTGTTTGACAATGATCTTCCAGATGGGTGAGCGAGACAACGTCTCTTCATTTTTGTGTTTTATCAGCTGCTGAAAAGCCTAAACAACACGTGCTCTCTGCGAGTGCAAGTGAGGAGATAATGATACAGAAATTGCATCAGAATATGACTTTAGCACGTGGTGAAATGGAGTCGGCTTAGCTGTGTCCGCTCACCGCTGTGTCTGTGTGTTTCGGCTGCCAGCTGGGAGGAGAGGAGAACTGCGTCTGGACGGATCCAGTACTTGAACCACATCACACGCACTACACAGTGGGAGAGGCCGACCAGGTGAGTGCACTCTGCAGCCCACAGAAACTTCAACCCAGACCTCTTTCATCAAACAGCAGGACGTCCATGGAAGACCTCATCTCTGACCTCAGCACTCTTAAACTGGAGAGCTCTGGTGAACATTGAAGTGGGCTCCCAAAAAAAGAAAAAAGGTGTCAGACAGATTGCTCCAGACAGCGAGGTTTAATGATGTGGAAGAGCCAAGGAAATCATGGAGCTGACAGAAAGGGCCGTAGAGGCATCTGGCTTTAATATTCACGTCATCTTAAGCTTGTCCTGAGAAACATTTCAGAGTATGTTTTGCTTTCTATTTCCCACGTTTAGCCTTCTGTAATTCTAATTTGTTTACCCTTTTTTCAAAAGATTAAAATATATCTTAATTCCTCTTCCAGTTTTTATTACAAAAATTAATTAATACACTATATGTATATATTTTTAATTCCTTGTATTACCCTTTCCCCCCTCTCAGGCCTGCATCAGAGTACTCCAGCCCCGGCAGGCCACTCAGCTGCATCGTAGATGAAAACACGCCCATTAGCACAAATGGTGCCACCCCCACCACAGCGTTACCGCCCAGTAATGGTGACCAGCGGGCACAGGAGAGACGGGTGCGATCGCAGAGGCACCGTAACTATATGAGCAGAACCCACCTGCACATGCACCCAGACCTTCCTGAGGGCTACGGTTAGTAGGACGTCAGCATCACGGAAAGGAGACGCACTGTTATGGAGACACATATTCATTACACTGTCATAAAACATTACATCAGTTGACACTAATGGAGTCCCTTTACTGAAAAAAACAAAAAACTTGTTATAAGTGCTAAACAGAGAATTTTGGATCTTGCTATTTTCTTCAATATTATTTTAATCGTACACATGGATGTAGAAGAAATATATTTTTATGGAAATTAGGCAGGTTGATAAAGAAGTACATGAGTTTTTTTTATTACAGATTAATAGACTCACTGACAAACAGTTACCGTATCAGAGTGATGGATTTGAAAGAAACTGCACATGATAAATGATCATGACTACTGCAGTGAGTACAAAATCAGAGCAAATGGGTAACAAAGTTGGCAGCATGAGCATAACATGCCAGTAGAGTGTGGCACCCCCTCAAGCTTGAATACCGGTACTTTATCCTTTCCTGCAGCAAATTGGCCCAGTTGTGAAACTGGACCTCAAGATTTGGCAAATCTGTGTCAGAATTGTTGTCAGACCTGATCCCACACATTCATTTAGGGAACGATCAGTGGGACCAGGTTGGCCGCGGGAGGACCTCAACATGGCCAAGACAGTTGTTAAACACAGGTGTGTTGTGTGTGGACAGGTGTTGTCTTGGTGAACAACTGTACCCCGATGTCTCATGAGGACGCAGGATGTCACTGACAGAGCATTGTGTCTTCAGGGTCCCGTAAATCTCTACCAGGCTCTGACTTGTCAGTGTCAGGGTCAGACCCTATGGCTCTCCACTCTGTGATTTCAGGAATCACACGTGTGTCTTTCCATAACACTGGCAGGACTGGTCCTCTTCCCTCAGCATCATCTTATGCGTAGATACTAGTCATCGTTGATCGAGCAGAACCGAGACTCTTTCCAGAACATGATACAACACCCTTCATCATCAGTCCACGCCTCCTGGTTATGGCACCACTTCCATCACTATAGTCTCTGCTCTGGTGTAATTGGCAGTCTGCATATGAAAGACACAAGAACCAGTAGTCCAACTGATGGTACTTGAGACGTGGTGCTGTGTAGTCCAATATTAGTTTGGAAAGAAGCTGCAGATGTCAGGGAGTTCTGTTATGTTTGGTAATCTGCATTACAGCAAGCCTCCCTTGGTATGGTCTGTCATGGGTGGCTGAAACCTTCATAACATATGTAGCTCATGTATGCATTAGTTCCAATATCAGTTTAATGTGACATCTATACGTCCCACATGCTGGGGAGTTGCACATTATGACTACCTGACGTTTTACAAACCCACAATGTGACTCTTATCAAACCCGTACTGATAATGCCGTCTAATATTTCTATGAAACATTCCCTGTTTCTGCTGGCCTTCGCCTACTACTTTGATTGACTGTCAGATACTCCAGCAACTAACTGATAACACTATTACTCTATTTCTAAGCAGTAGCTCTTTGTTGCAGTGCCACAAAATACTGGCTCCATTTGAGACAACTGAACTGATGGTAGCTGCTACAATCTGGAGGCAGACGGTCACACCCCCCTCCCCTGTCGAGTTTCAAACTATCAAAAGCATTCATGGAAAAGCTAGCACATGCACACTCGAGTTGCAATCCCTCCACACATCCCGAGGGAGTTCTGTTTATCTTCACAGTAAATTTGTCTGTGGGCTTTAAAAGCCAGAGCCAAACAACAGTACCGCTGCTTCTTCTTCACTCACTCAGATTAGGAGGCTTTTTGTACTCGTCTCTCTATCTCTTCTGCTGTCTTATCTTCCTGCTCACTTTAAGTAGCATTCTGTTTTTTAATGTATTACTCTGACAGTTATCAAGCCAGACTCGTGGACAAAATATTCCACCTGGTCACTTTTCTGTTAACATGGTGCACGCAGTCATACTTCATTACCCTCATTTATCTTAGTTCATATCTTAGATCTTATTACTGTTTTTCTTTTACATTTTAATACTTAGTTGGATGTAACTGGAACCCTGTGTACACAATTTCGTTCCACCACATGTACCACATGTGGGGAGTGGTGCCGCAGAGGTTACAGAGGTGGGCCTGTGATCCGAAGATCGCCGGTTCACGCCCCGGCCCCAACAACATCAAAATTGTGGGTGGGGTAGGTGAAGCACCCACACTTGCCCCCATCCTCATTCGCCCCACTCTGGGCCCATGAGCAAGGCCCTTAACCCCCCATCTGCTCCTAAACAGGTCTCTCTTGAAAATGAGTTCTCGTGGCTCAATGAGACTACCTGGATGAATAAAGGGTAAAAATTAAAGCACCTCCTTAAGAAGCAGAAGATGTTGGATGGATGGATGGATGGATGGATGGATGGATGGATGGATGGATGGATGGATGGATATATGTACACACATGCACATATCATCATATTTATTATTATAAGTTATTTTCTTTTTAGTTCAAATTCAGTTGGACAAAATATGAAAGTTATTTATGTTTTAAGTAGCTTATGTAAATATGAATGTTTTAAATTAAGGTTTTTTTTTGTTTTTTTTCAATTTGTGTCGTTTGAAAAAAGTTTATTTAATGTAAAGTAATGTGACCAAGAATCTTTGTTTAATAAGGGTTTTGCTGTTTATTGCTCTCGAAACTTTGAACTGGTGGCTTCAAATGTTACTAATACTTTTGAAACGTCAAAATATAAATATCCGGTCTAAACTTTTATTCTGAAAACCCCCTTGTTTCAGCGATGCTCTGCGTCACTCCTGCTAGCTTCACATAGCTGGAGGCAGAGTAGCTTGCAGGGCACATGTGCCTGGTAGAATACTAACAGACCGTCCCCCCACGCCCCACAAGGAAGAAGAGGGGCACCACTTTTCTCTGAGGGCATTTATGACGCATTTCGCCCCGATATTTCAATGACGCGTGCAATAGTATGTCACGTATCTGGGCGCACTTTTAAGTGGGTATACGGAAATTTCCGAGCTTTTCTAGTGGGTGTATGGCATATACCAGCGTATCACATAGACTACACCACTGCTTCTAGCTTTTACATTGCTTAAAATTATAGTTTCCTCCAATGATTTGAGTGACCCTTGGGGTGGCCGAAGATTATTCCATGGTGGCTTAGGCCACCAATGGCAATCTTCTGTCTCCGCCGCCTGGCGGTGGATAAAATGGCTCCCACCACTTGACAGGATCTGTGACTCTGCGCTGCCTAAGACAAGCAAAAGAGGAGAAAAAAAGCAATACCTGTTTTCAAAAACTACAAACATTCACTATTCAAATCCCTCAGCGACCGGACATTGGTGTACCACTTTTTAAAATAACCATATTACAAAATAAGTCCTGGCAATTTTTTTTACGATTCAATGTTTAATTCATGTCTGTGTACTGCTCACCATGTTTCACAGGGACTGATGTTGCGCAATAAGCTTATGCTTACTTTTACGTATAATGGATTAATAAATTAAAGAAAGAAGTTAGAAGAGGCCAAAAATGCCGGAAGTCTGTGACTTATCAAACAAAAGAAAACATTTCAGCGAAGCAGAATTAGATCATCACAACAGTGTGACATCAACAACAAACTGTCGACAGATGTGTTTCTGATGGAAACAGAGTTACCAGTGGACTCATTTAGACTTTACAAGGAGACTAACAAGCTGTTTGAGTCATCGTGTACCAACTGGTGTAAAACGGTTGGAAAAATCTCAAAGGTAATCTACAGAGCAGACAGAACAATCCAGTAGCTCTGCGGGTCTTTATGCATGGATTTGCAACACAAATAATTTTGGATGAATTTAAATGTTGTCTTGAAAGAAATCAGAAGTTGTTGGGTTTCTGCACCTCTAGGATGGCAGACCTAAAATATCTCTGCTATGATCAGGACCTCATCTGCCTTCAAACAGATGGGGCAGCTGTGGATCAGTGGTTAGAGATTCAGGAGTCCAACAGCCTCAGGGTAGAAGCTGTTCCTCAGTCTAGTGGTTCTACACTTAATGCTCCTTAACCTCCTTCCTGAGGGGAGCAGGGCAAAAAGTATTTGTGCTGGGTGAGTGGGGTCCTTCATGATGCAGGTGGCTCTCTTCCTGCATCTAGAGGTGGAGATGTCTGTAATGGTGGGGAGGCTGACTCCCAACAGTTCCAGTCTGTCAGGAGTCTGACTCCAGTCAGTTCTTAAACTTTATACAATGACTTTAGAAACACTTTTTTTAATTAAGAGCACAGCAAACATCATCTGTGTTTATCTTAAAACATCTCTGAAATATGGACATTTTTATTTTTTGTCCTCAATTATTTGTAAAGTGGAAGAGGAAATTATGTTGCCAGTGGTATCAGTCTTACGTATCAGGGTGTTTTTATCAGGACAGGTAAAAGTACTTGAAGCTGGTATGGGCATACTAGTTTCTATAGAATGATTTACCCAGATTAGCTTTGTAGAGGTGAGGCAGAGTGTGTGTGGATGGGCAAATGAGAGCACCAATGATGTGAAGCGCTTTAGTCTGGTTGTCTAGAAAGATGCTATGAGTAAGTACAGTCCATTCACCATTTAAAAGAGAGTTTCAAGTATTTCTCATGTTCAGTTTTGGGTATCTGTTGGAGACTTTATGACGTTGGAACAATAAAATCAAAAACTGTATAAAGCTGTTCTAAACATTCAGTCATTTCATCCCCAAACAGCTAAATGTGAGATCCAGGCGGCTGGTCGACTTTTTGGTGAAAAAAAAAGTTCTCAACGGGTTTCAAATCAATAAATGACTGAACTGATCTTTACTGACGTGCCGGCTTTAAGTGTACATGAGAGCGAACAGTTCTGACAGTAGAAAGGGTGCAGCTTTGTACAGGTCGGGTTTAAAGGAGAACAACATTGGCACACGCATGTCTAAATGCTCAAATAATGGATTATTTGATACGGTACTTGATTAATAAAATCTGTGATCTTAACAAGACTCTAAAGGAGCTTCGTGTCTCATGTATTGATGTCAAATACAGCTCTTTTCTTAGCTCTCTTCATTTGATTCTGGACGTTTGTTTAAAACATTTCCTCTGCTTGTAACACGGGTCAGATGGCACTCTCCGTGTTGACTGTAATAACACATTTGTCAGCTGAGTGGACAGTTAGGAGCTTTCTGTGTGAAAGCAGAGAAGATCCGAGCAGAGATGGCAGAGGACAGCTTTCTGGCAGGCATATCGTGGAAATATCGGCGTCAGGCTGTGATGAATGAGCCTACCAACTGAAAAGTCAGACGTCCCACCACCCCCCACGTCTCCTCTCTGTTTTCCTCTCCAACGTTCCTCGCCCTGTCTCTCACCTCCTTCCCCCTCTGCCTCTTCCTGGCTCTCTTCTGGGAGCTCTGCTGACTCAAGTCGTCCTTTCATCTCCATCTGTCCGATCACTCTCTTAACGTAGGCAGATTTAGCACAATCTGTGTATACGTGGTGAATGAATTAAGTCCTTTTTAATTGACGTGCAGGAATGCGAAGGTTGAGGCAGGGCGAGGAACCTCTTTTAAAGCTTTTTGTCTCTTCTTACAGAGCAAAGGACGACGCAGCAAGGCCAAGTTTACTTTCTCCATACTCAGACCGGCGTCAGCACGTGGCATGACCCCAGGGTACCCAGGTATATCCCACATTACTTTATACATAATAGGTTATTTTACTATTTTATGGAAAGTATGTTCTTTGTGTGTGTGAATTTTTATTCCACATCCTAAAGCTGTGCAGAAGTTGGCCATAGAGTGTGGTGCGTCTGTGTTAGCTGTTCCTGTTTTCTCAATTCTGAATAATAAAGGAGGATGGAGAATAAATAGGTAATAAAATTCATATAAAAAATGTAATTGGAATGTCTACTTCCTTCATGACCTTCTCAGATTTATTAACTCAAGCCGTAGACTGTATTGCATTACTGTATTCCTGGTCTCCATAGTTTGCCACAACCCTGCAGCTTATTATGGTTCTGACAGGATGTGAGGAAACTTGTGTAGCAGAGCCCTGACTGCTGTTCTGTTTTCTAGCACCAGACCTGAAAAGGTTTGCTTTAGGACACATGACCAGCAGCTCACAGTTCTCTGTTGTTTCTATCAGTATGTCCTAACAATGACCATTTTCAGAAGAAAAAAAAAAGTAGACACAAAAATTTATATTTGTTAAAAACAATTTAAAAGTCTCCTTTGATGAGGTCTCCTGATCACTTCCTAATATTACAATTTACCACTTCAGAGTAAGCTGTTTTGGTCACCTTACAAAAACCCCTTCAGTCCTGGGATTAACATCTGTCCTGGTGATCCGATCACAAGTGGACAACTCTAAATACACGTATGAACACAGTCATGGTGAATTAAGGACATATTTGGAACTGCTCCTCTTTTATCCACATTTATTTAGCCAGTCTGAACACAAACTGTCCTGGGCCACATTTAAAGATTTATGTATGTGAATGTTTCTGTTCACTGAGACGACTGAGATGACTTGGCGCTATATAAATAAACTGAATTGAATTAAAGGACAGTTCCTAACCCACAGGGCTTAATTTGTGCTGGATCCAGACGGAACAGGATATGGGAACTCTGATTTTGACAGGGTGCGTTCCAAAAATTGTTCTCTTGGATCCGGTAACTCTCAGGCTTAGTAATAATAAAGTTATGAAAAAATTTTACCACCTTGAATGAAAAAAAAAACTACTTATAATTCAATAGCCATCCATCCATCATCTTTATCCGCTTCTTCCTTTTCGGGCCACAGGGGTCACTGGTCCCCATATCCAGCCATCACTGTGCGAGAGGTGGGGGACACCCTGGACAGGTCTCACAGGGACACATAGAGACAAACGAGACAAACAACCATTCACTCTCTCACTCACACCTAGAGACAATTTAGAGTTACCAATCAGTCCTAACATGCATGTTTTTGGTCTGTGGGAGGAAACTGGAGTGCACGGAGAAAACCCAAGCATGCACGGAGAGAACGTGCAAACTCCACCCAGAAAGGCCCCACAGCCGAGACTTGAACAGGCGACCTTCTCACTGAGAGGTGGCAGCTCTACGAACTGCGCCACCGTGCTGCTTTATTGAATATGTAAACTGAAAATAATTATATAAACACTAATTTTCAACACAACAGCCACTTACAAGCTTACAATCTTCCTCTTCAAGTAGCATTTCCGCCTCTACCCTTGAAAAAATATCCGCTCCTAAAAGAGTTTTTTTTTTTGGGGGGGGGGGGGGGGGTCAGAGCCGAGCTAACCAGGCTGGAGCTCACAGGCAGCTACCATGAACAGACGGAGGAGGCACCTGGAGGTTTCACATGAGGAGTCGGACAATAACAAGCAGGGACAGTGTCGGGCTTGGAACCATCACGTAAGGGGAGGGGGTGTAGGATGCTTGACAGAAGAGGAGTGTTTACAAATGTATGTAATTGTAGATGTTTAACAATCCATTAAAATACACCAAAATGCAGGAATTTGCATCTACTTTATTTAAAATTTTCTGGAAGAGGATAACCCCCTCCCCCGCCCGGCTTGCCCACCCCACTTTGCGTTCCAGCATCAATTGGTTTACAAATTAAGCCCTGCTAACCTGACATAGCTTCTCATGAGCAAGAGTCACCACCTGGAGGTGGTTTCATTCTCCTGATTTCTAAGGAGAAATTAAAATAAAAAAACTTGGATGAAATGTGTCACATGTGTTTGAAAATATAAAATAACTGTGAGGAGATTCTGAATATTATTTCCATGCGAACATTTTTTTTATCAAACTGCCCAAATTCTTGTAAAAAAATATAAATGTTTTTGGTTTATATTAATCAATTTAGAGGGAGTTTTCTTTTGAGCTGCCTCAATGGTGTGTTGTCGTCGTTTTATTGTTTTTATATTTCATGTAGATCAAAATTGTGATCTCTGTGTGTAAAAATCTGTTTAGTACATTACAAGAATTTTGAGTTTTCCAACAATATAGTCCTTTATTATACACAGTGTTTAGTTTTATATTAAAGAACGGATGTTCTGCTGGTGAATAAAGTAAGTTTAGATATAATTCAATTCTGTTTATTTATACAGTATATCGCAAAGTCACAACAGAAGTCATCTCAGGGCACTGAACAGAAACATTCATATACATAAAAACCAATTAGTAAAAGTTTTCTTATCTAAGGAAGCCAGCAAATTGCAATGGTCTTTGTCACAGTCTCCCATATAAAATTTAAAAAAATAAAAAAAATAAAAAAAAGTCAAAAAGTCTTAACAGCAGCATTGTTATAATTGTAACAGCGTATTTTGTGGTTGAGCTGACTAAACTCTGTAAAATCATGAATCAGTTCTTGCTTCTTTATTTTTATCCTGCATGTTAGGCTACAGAATTAAAGTTATTAGAATATTTTTAAACCGAGTGGGTAAATGAGGTCTGATGGCTCCAGATGAATTTACATTCCTCTTGTGATCAGATCAGCCAGGATGCAGGACAAAAACAGAAAAGTTAATGAAGTTCAGCAGAAGCGGCTGCAGGCAGTAGTAAATAATTTAATTAGGGGGATGTTGAAAAGGAGTTTTTTAGACATCTTAGGATATTTTTGTCCACTTGATGTTTGATGTGTTTTTAGATTTGGTTTGATGCATAAACTTAGTCTTTTCCCCTGTCCCACTCGTCTGTTTACTTTTGGGTTCGTTTGTTTTTCCCCCTTAAATTCATACATACTAATATTATCTGTGCCCCTCTGTTGTTTCTCAGAGATCTAAGTAATGTGAACTGTGAGGAACTTGGTCCTCTACCACCAGGATGGGAGATACGAAACACCGCCACAGGGAGGGTTTACTTTGTCGATCACAACAACCGGACCACGCAATTCACAGACCCACGCCTCTCAGCAAACCTGCATCTAGTCTTGAAGTAAGAACCAAGCAGAACAAATGTGAACTTGCTCTTAAAATCACAGGAAACATCTCATTTTTGTCTACATTTTGTGTGTTTAGCCCAAGTTCTAATGGCTCTCGAGGAGGCAGTGAAAGTCAGAATGTCAGGTGAGGTTCAGACGCAGAGAACACACACACAGCTGCACATCATTCACGCAGTCTGAGAGCCTGCCTGCCCCCTCAGTCCTTGTTTTACACCGCGATACTCTGCCAAAGTGTGTTCACCACCTGTAGAGGTCTGCACTCAGTGTAGTCCTCCGTCTGAGCAAAGTCTGCAGGAACACTCACACAAACACACGTGCAAAGTGCACTTCCCCACATCCTTTTCTTCTTTCCACACAACAACTCAAAAATTCCTCAGCCCTGCAAAGGTTTTAATCACGAAGGCGTTTTAAGCACACGATCCGTCACGAAGCTGTCTTTGGCCAGACATCAAATGGAGTGGAAACCGAGGCTGGTGCGTCTGTGGCTTAGGAGCGCCTTGCGTCCAGGAAACAGAGTATAAATTCTGTGCCCACGTCAATGAATGGACTGCACGTGCGTCCATAAATGTCCATCCACGTGTGTAGGTTCACACTTCCTTGTTTGGCACATGCCATCGTGCAATGATGCTAAGAATTTCTCTCCCTGTGCAGCTGTTCAAACACATACTGTTGCAGCTATAGCAAACAAATTACCCATAAGACCTTGCTCCATAAAGATAGTGTTTGAGTGTCTGTCTGCCCTCATTCAATCTCCCTGCAGAGTGAGACGAAATGCATATAGTATTAGATTTCCTTTTTGATGGATCAAAGAACGTGTTTCAGATTTTCTGTTTGTTTTTTTTGGGGGGGGTGATACTCGTTACCCTCTGAGATGTCTCTTGAAACTGTAGCTTGGCGCGTGACATTTGTTTTTAATCTAGGAATCTGCAGAAACAGATGTGGAAAAATTCCATTCATATCTGATAATGTGTGTGTTATGGCAGGGCAGGTTTGGGAGTAATTTTTATTGTTTAAAGGTCGAACGCCTGATAATATACGCCGGCTGTTTTTCACAATTTCTAATTCACAACCCCTCCTGAAACTGTACAAACTCGTAACAATAGTGTGCTATGAATTTTGCTAGTTGTACCTCAGACTGGGTTGATTAAATAAAATAAATAAATATTTCTACATAATCATAGGATTTTGGTGAAACAAGTGAGAAAACCATTCTTTTAGCTCTGCAGCTCAGACGTCACAGCTGTGAGGGCTGTGAGCTACAGAGCTGCAGTTAATGATTTTAGATATCTTAACCACAAAATGTTGAATTTTTCGTGATGACGTCAGTCAGTTTAACTTTTGAGCTCTTTAAACTTTCCAAAATCTTTGCTAGCACACTTCTTCTTTTCATAATCTTTGCAATTTTTTCACAATATATGCATCAATACATGAACGTTAGTGCACACATTCAAACTTGCAGTGACTTCCATTGTATCTAAGCTCAGCAATTTCTGTTCAAAACAGGAAGTGAAGGGTTATTTTAACTTGTCATTTCTCCTACACAAAACACTGACGATGTATAAAAACATGTCTGACGAAAAGACACTTCTTTCTTTCAAGGTTCAAGGAGACTATTGTCATTCGCATCACATGTGGTACATGAGGTGGAACAAAATTGTGTAAAGGTCCCAGTTACACCCATAAATAGTAAAAATATGAAGTGTAAAAAGGAAACTGATTAAAAGGATCTAAGATATACTCTAAACAATAATAACATAATATAATATGGCGTATTAAATAGCAGCCTGAACATGAGTCTGTAGTGAGCAGATGGGTACGAATAATAGCAGCTTGTATAAAGTGTCAAATCTCCAATTAAAGTGGCATTACAGTGATTATCCTGGTTAAGGATTCATGCGTCTAACAGCCTCAGGGTAGAAGCTGTTCCTCAGGTGTGTTTGTTCCTTCTGAAGTCCACGATTATCTCCTTCGTCTTCTTCACATTGGTGTGAAGGTTCTTCTTTCTGCACCAGCTCTCCAGGTGTTCCACCTCCTGCCTGTAGCTGGACTCATCGTTGTTTGTGATGCATCCCACCACCGCTGTATCGTCTGCAAACTTTACATTGTGACAGCCTGGATGGGTAGGTGCACAGTCATATGAGAGCACAGTGGAGGGGGCTTAACACACAGCCCTGAGGGGAGCCAGTGCTGAGGGTTATGGTGGAGGAGGAGAAGTTGTGGATCCTCATAGACTGCAGTTTGTTTGTTAAGAAGTCTAGGACCCAGATGCGTAGGGAGGGGCTTAGTCCTATTGTGAATAGTTTTTCTCTTGCGCTTCAGGATTATTATTTTTTCATTACTTCTTATAACTTTTAGCACAGTCACTCTTTGTTTGAAGCTTATTTTTACTCTGCATTTCTGATTACTGGTCTCTTTATGTGTATTGATGCGTGACAGCAGGTGTGCGGTTATCATGGTGACCTTTATGAGCCACTGGCAGCAGCTTTAACGTTTCTTTTGATATTGATTGTTCTTGCATGTCTACATCAAAACCTCATTGTCGGCTTAGATTATTACAAAAGTAAGTCTCTCAACTTTCTGTTGGGTTTCGTAGAAGAGAGTTGATGCATGTTGGGATTACAGACACTAGCTGCATTTGCATCCTTCAACATTTATTTCAGGATTATTTAAAAACTTTTTTGAGCGTTGCAGTAAACCTTCCGTCTTTGTTGTGTCTTTATGTTTTGAGCTTGGACCTGAACATGAGATACTGGAAATCATACCTGCGGTTTGCATCAATACCCCCCATTAATACAAACCATGTAATCATTCGGTGTGCTGACTTTTTCATCCTAGCTTTAAGTTGACCTTCTAACTTCTGACAAAAGTCTGGAAAACGTATCAGTCCTCGTGGCTCCCTGTGCAGACATCTGCCTTTTACCAGTTATAGGATTTCAGATATTTGCACCTCTTCATGTGTCATCATCCCACAAAAATCTTATACTTATATACGTATAAAATGCCCATAAAAGTTGGAGTTTATAGCGTGGTTTTGGTTCAGATGTGTATGTGTTGTTGCGGTGTTGTGCTGAATCCAGCCTCTCCGTCTGATTGAAGTCACTGTCCAATAGGAAACTGAATCAGTCTCTGCTTTTAAGACCTGGACTGTCTCTAGGTCTCTACAGTCGCATAAGGGAAAAAAACATGTATTTGTAGATGTTAGTGATTCATCAAAATGGCACAAGTGTGTGAGAAAACAGGCTTTTATTGCTGTCGTGCCTGTGGCGAGGCGCCTTTGGGGTAACACAGGCCGGGCTTGCTCATCAGTAAGCAGATGGAAGGAGAACAGAGAGCCTGATGCTATGAGAGAGTGAGACGGAGCAGCAGTGTTTAATTTATGGGTGGAGGTGTGGGGAGAGAAGCCTTCCGTGACTCCCCCCCACCCTCAGAGATGTCTGCTGTGTTTGGGTGCCATCAGCTGAGTGGCCTTCCTGTCTCCCCTCTCCCTCTCACCCTTCCTTCCTTCCTTCCTTCTCAATCTAGTCTGCAGGAAATAAAATGATTCATGAGGAGGTCTTGACTGTCGTTTGGGGACCTGTGGCTTTCTGGGATTGCAGGAAGTGATCGAGATTCTGCTGCTCAGACCCCAGAAACCAAACTCAGTCACTTAGCTGAGGAGAAATGCTTGTTGTGGTGAAGGGGATGGATGTTGAAGTAGTACTCTGGAACTAAATGAACTCCTCACAACTGCATTCTGTCAGTAAATTAGTTGTTTTTACAACTCATGTTTCTGTAGCTACCCAATAAACCTTACTACAACAGTACATTTTTAACCTTGGCAGAAATTTTAGTGCTTATCCTCCAACATCTGGGCAGTTTGATGACACTTCCACCTCCGTCTGTGCTCAGCGTTAGATGTTTGTGTGGTGTTTATGACCCAGCACAGAGGTGAGCTAACCCCCCACTGAAGCGCCGAAGTTCACTGTGCACATAATCCTTCAGTACCAACCTCATGAAGCCGTCAGTTTGTAAAGCATTGTTTCAATCATCACAATTTTAGTTGTTTTAAAATTTGACATTAAACAAAAGAAGGAGCTCTATAATCAGCATTGGTATAATGCAGGCATAATAATTGCAAAATTGCTTTTAAACCTTCTGTAATGTTTATTAATTTTAATGATATAGACAGTTTCAGAGAAGACTGTGAACTAGAGGAGTTGCCCCCTTCTGGTGATTAGAAAGAATGCAGCTTGAACAACAACCTTGATGAGCAACGTGAAAATGAAATCTGTTTTCGCTATTAAAATTAGTGCAACAGTAGAATTACACATTAATATAACTGTTATATTTTTACCTTAACAACTGCAGAAAAGTAAAAATTTAAGATTTTGTTTCTTGATATAGGTTTATATTTTTGATTTAGAGATTATATATTAGAAACAACCCAGTAAGTTTATTAAACCACATCCTATTGAAGGTAAAAAGTGCTGATCAGTTTGTTTAATGGTTCCTGAGTGGCTTGTGTCATTTAACATTTGGTATATTTTCTTATTCTGTGGCTAGAATTTAATTAGTTTGGAGCTTGGATCCGTCTTGTCAAAGTTCCAAAATTCACAGTTGAAACCCGTGCCTTCATGTAAAAAGTTGTTTTTCTCTGCAAAAAGATGCTGAGAACTTGTTTACTGATTTTTTATTAAAAGCTTTGTGTGAAAAATGCTATGCTAAAGAGCTCAAACCACACTGGGCATCCGCCATATTGAGAACCGAATAAAGGAAGGAGAAACAGCCCATGTCACGTCAAGCGGCCTCCCCTCCCATTTTTCTTAAAGAGAAACGCTCGCTCCCTCACTATCCATCTATCGGTTAAAACAGTCTTATACTGCTATCCAGTGGTCAAAAAAGGTACTACACACAAAAATTAGCCCAATGTTTCTTCGTAAATTTGACAATAATGACTAATTATTGTCAAATTTCAAACAATATTATCGTTTATTGGAATAATTTCTGAGACAATTAATCGCCCAGCAAAATTTGTTATCGTGACAGGCCTATGTATAATACATTATACTAAAGTAAGTGGCACTGTTGTTGTTGCTATTATTATTAATGGTATTAGTCTTCTGTGGTTTGAGAGTATTCTGAGGTTTGCTGAATCCCTAACCTCTGACCTAACCCCTGACTCCTGGCTCTAATCCTCACCTCGACCCAACCCTGGACAAAGTGACACAAACACATTGTAGTTTGAAGAGTACAGAAGGACAGCCGTTAGGTGGCAAAAGTACAAAATAACCAGAACTCAAATAGACCTGTCTGTGTTTCTAGTGTCAACGAAGAGACACGTGGAGTTACAAATAAGATCTTTTCTTTTAAATATTTATCATTGCTATTTCTCAAAATGTTTAACTGTCGAGAAAAATAAACAAATACGCAAAGTGAGTAGGAGATGATGTGGAGCCGATGTGAAGCTGTGACTCACCAACTACTTTCTCCTGAGCCAGTGTCAGTCTTTGTCAAAGTGTTGACTTAATAATGTAAATCAGTCCGTAAACCCTCTGTTTGATCTGATGTTACACACTCTGATTAGAAAGTATCAGTATGCCTGTGAAAAGCAGAGACCCTTCCTCAGTTGATGAGTCAGACTCAACAGAGCATTTATAAAAACATTTCAGCCAAATCTGGGGGGCTGAGGCAGCTGTTTGACTCAGATGACCTCAGAGTCTTTACTCCTCCGTTCTCTGCTCTCAGCAAAGACCTAGGATTTAACATTGCTTCTTTTCATCCTGTCTCTCTCTGTCTCGTGTCCTTTTAGTCGTCAGAACCAGACGAAGGATCAGGCGCAGCAGGCTCTGGTGTCCCCGGGCCAGCTCCCAGAGGAGGCGGAGTGTCTCACGGTGCCCAAGTACAAGAGGGACCTGGTTCAGAAGCTGAAGATCCTCCGGCAGGAACTGTCCCAGCAGCAACCTCAGGCCGGTCACTGCCGCATCGAGGTGTCCCGCGAGGAGATCTTTGAGGTGAGCCATGAAGAGGGAATGGGCTCCATCATGTCCTCGCACCATCGAAACAGATCAATGTCACAGCTAAAGTTTCTTAAAAGACTTGATTTCTTTTTTTTTCTCAAATCTTGCCCTATGTTGATCCTGCCTATGCATTTCATACCTTTTTAACTGAAGCAGCATCATAATATGGAAACGTATGTATGTACATCTTTTATATGTATACTGTATGTAGGCAATGCATATACATGTACATATGCACATGTTTGTGTATGTATGTATACATATAGGTTAATCATGAATGTAGTACTCCCAATTTGTGTATTGTGCTACTTTTTTTTTATTATTTCAGATGTATTTTTTTTTTTTTTTCTGTATAATTAGAACATGCTACTGGATGCCTCAAGTTTCCCTCCTGGGATTAATAAAGTATCTATCCTTCCATCCATCCATCCAGTTAGTTGGCAGCATGACGGCTCAGTGGTTAGCACTGTTGCCTCACAGCCAGAAGGTCCTGGGTTCAATCCCCATTTGGACCTGGGGTCTTTCTGTGTGGAGTTTGCATGTTCTTCTCACACTTGCGTGGGTTTACTCCAGGTACACCGGTTTCCTCCCACAGATCAAAAACATGCATGTTAGACTGCCTTCAGGCCCAGGTCTGCCTTGTTAAATACATCTGTGATCTCAGTGGGATTTGCCTGGTTAAATTCATTCAACCTTTATTTAGACAGGTGAATCCCATTGAGCCTCAGGGACTCATTTACAAGAGAGACCTGATTTTAACAAAGAATGATGACAACAGTGGACAACAACAATAGACAATCATTAAAGATGCGTACAAACGTAATTTTTTTTTTAAATAAAGTTTAATAAATAAATAAATCAATAACGGGATATGATGAAACTCACCAAATCTAATCATTGGCTATACATCTACAAATGTTGACCTTTGGAGTCAACCCTAATTCAAGATGGTCGTCTTATGGTTGATCCACCTTTACAAATAAAAAAAGGCCATAAATCAGTCAGTTGTACAGATTTTAATCTAAAATTTTGTGGTTGTAGCTGAGAGTAAATCACACCGTGCTGCTAGCTTTAGCATGAACTGCTGGGATCAGTCCTAAGTTCTAGTCACAAAAATGGCTGTAACTGCATCAAACTTACAGTTTCTGAGTTAAAGTTTGATGTGGTAAAACTTTAGACCGGCGGGGTCAAATTCAGTAACAAAAGGGGACAAATTTGAAACTTATTTCAAACCGAGGGCCAATTTCATTTGATAAATTAACTCCAAACAGATACCTGACATCTTTTCTCGGTTGCAGGTTCCTCAACAAGTTTCATCAGTCTCATTGGACGTTCTCTGTCGCCTTTTCTGCATCAGAATCAAAGATTATGGAAACATTTACAGTTGGCCAACTGCACATTTGTTTGATGTAAATCAAGTATGCTCAGTTTTTAAGTAAAATAAAAAGCAGTAAAAATATTTTGCTTTTAAAATATCTTTGGGGCCCAGATAAGATATTAACAAGGGCCGTATTTGGCCCATGGACCTTGACTTTGACATCTTTTTCTTAAAGTCATCATTAACATATACTTTGAGCTCTTAACGCACCTTTGACATCACATGAGACGGTGTTTAGCGTTATTTATAATTCAGTCCCGTCTCATCGTTTCTTTAACACTTTGGTGTAAAACGAGGTGGGCAAAATTCATTTTTGTAATGAATGTTGTTCCGCCAATGTATAAGTTATTTTTAGATTCTTCCAAGTTATTTTAAACATCCTCCCAAGTTTAATTTTTTCCTCATGGCACTGTTTGTTCATGATAAAGGTCGTTCCCCCGGAGCAGTTTGGCAGTAGAAATGTTTCTCTCACACACGGTTATCTATGATGTGTGAAGGTTCTCAAAATCCAAACCAGGCCTCTTGTTTGGGATGAAGGTTTTCCCACTGGGGGCAGCGTTTTCCCCTTTTTTCCTCTTTTTCCTGTACGGAGGAGACGCAGAGCCGCCGTCAGAACAACACCACCTGCAGCAGACTGCATGACCCTCATAAAATATGTGCTGGAATGTGCTGGAACAGCCGCGTCTGTTAATCTGAACGAAGACATTTTTGTTGGCTGATCTCAGCATGTGAGAGAGGATGGGGGCGGGGGGGTTATGGCGGACGTCTTGAGGTTGAGCGAGACATAACTGCATAGCTTCTTCAGACCAGCTGAAGCATTAAATTAGGCCTGAACCTGGACTGTCAGATCCATCTCCGTGGCTTTATTTCATTTATCTTGTATTTTTTAAATGTAGATAAGAGCTTTTCATTTCCCCTCGCAGCACCTCTGGGTTGTCGGCTCAGTCCTGAAGGCATGATGGAGCCTGGCAGTGGAAGAAGTGGTGTTGTTAGAGCCTTGTGGCTGTGTTTATTATAACTGCCTGTAATCCACTTAAAACAAACCCTCCCTCTGACGCTGTAAGCCGACATCACGTGTGATAAACACTGACGGAGGTGGAGAAATCTCAGCTCAATGAAGAGGGGAAAAAAAAACATGGAAACGCCTGCTTGGACTCCAAAATGCAGCTGTTTTGTTCCTCAGAAAAACTTTAAATCACGTAAAATAAATGTTTATTTTAGTCCCTTCAAAACAGCGTCAAAATAAAGTCTTCATTTAAAACTGCTGTTTTAGAGCGAACTGTGCTGTGAGACACAACGTAGTTTTTAATACGTTTGGTCACTCATATCTTCTCAGCCTCAAAACTGATTTTCTTTGTACTGAGGGCCATGATAAGCCAGATTTATTCCCAGCAGTGTTACTGTCACTAATGAGCCGTTTCTGTCCGTCATGCAGGAGTCGTACCGGCAGGTGATGAAGATGAGGCCGAAGGACCTGTGGAAAAGGCTCATGGTGAAGTTCAGAGGTGAAGAAGGACTTGACTATGGAGGGGTGGCCAGGTAAGAAGCCATGGAGGGAAATTCTGTCAATTCTTGTCTTTAAAAAACTCCTTCTGGAGACTGAACCAACTAAAAACAAACTTTGGGTTCTTCAAAGCATTAAAGATATAAGATGTGATTATGAAGATCTGTTGTAGACACACAGCTCTCAGTTTGGATCAGTTTAGTTTGCGTTCGACAGGACTGACAATCTAACAGCTAATCTGAACCATCCTAAGATTACTCTGATCTCCAAAGTCTCATATTTAAACTTTTACATTGTCAGTTTTATATTACTTGGTTGTTTTGGCAGAAACGTGATGAAATTCCTGCCAGACTTCACCCCAGAAATGCTTCACCTTACTACAGATGTTGCTATGTGCACTTTGAAATTACCACATAAATCTTTGAAAACATCTGTGCTTAACAAAACTGTTGATGAGTAAAAGTTTTTAAATAGTACTCAGTGTATCATTTAAAAAAAATGAAAATTTGAGTTTTAAGTTTGCAGTGATTCACTTTGAGCTTGGCTGCTTTCAGACTAGCTGTTAGCTCATCAGTCTGATCAGAATTACACTTTACTCTTTTTTAACTGTGATTATTTACAGAGCTGTGTAGAGCACATAAGATATGAAGTCTAGGGCTGGACAGGGATATATAAATATATGTTTTATTACAAGTTTAAGAATTAATGCAACCGTTTGTGCATTTCTTTTTAAACACCAGCACCTGGTAGTAACATGCCATGTTTCATACTGGTGCTTTTCCAGTCGGGATGCTTTTTTGGACACAACACCCCCCACCTTCCAAAATAAAATGAAAGAGAAACAACACAGAGCATCCCCAGCATATCAAAGTTCATGCTCAACAATCCAGGTAAAAATCCAACAAAGTTCAGTCAGGTCCGATCCGATATCAGTGTCTGTACCGATATCGGAAAATTCTTGATCGGGTATCAATAAAGATGCACTGATCTGATCTTTGCATCGATATCGGTACAGATATCGAAAAAAAATTTGATCAGGTATCATGACAATGTGACCCATCCATAAAGACAGGAGATGATTGCTGTTTATTTTAAGTATCTGCCAACCAAGCTAGTGAAGCAATTGTTTTTTCCTCTTTATTCAGCTCCTTTATTATTTATTTTTACATTATATTTATAATTCCTGAACCATTTGAAAGGTTAGTTGAAGGTTATTTTTTCATGTTTGGCCAAAGTTGTCAATCTATTGGTTTTTTTGTCAGTTTCAGTATTTTTATTATTATTTATTTAACATTAGATATTATACTCATAATTGCACTGGCTGAACAAATTAAAGTTGTTTTTACATGTTTGACCAAGCTTGTGAAGCTATTGGTGTGTTTAAGTGTGCTGTACTGGTGCAGAGTTTTCAATAACTTTGTAATTCAGTACATTTATATCTGTTTAAAAGCAAATGTTTTAAGTTAATTCAGCACTGTTTTTCCCCTCCTGTATCGGATCGGTATCGTCTGATGCTAAACCACAGATATCGGTATCGGAAGTGAAAAGTTTTTCATCCCAACACTGTGGATTTAAAACAAGGGGGGTTGCAGTTAAAAAAAAATGTAAAGACAAATTGAATATTAACCAAACAAATTCAAAACATGTACAATAAAATCCTTATTCCTAAATCTTCTTAACTTTTCTGCAGAGCACCCTCTGAAAATAGCCGTAATATCCCTTTAACTCCGGTGCCGAGTGTCATTTTCTCTTGTTCTCTCCTTCCATGTCGCGTTGTGCAGGGAGTGGCTGTATCTGCTGTCCCATGAGATGTTGAATCCATATTACGGCCTGTTCCAGTACTCCCGTGACGACATCTACACGCTGCAGATCAACCCCGACTCCGCCGTCAATCCCGTGAGTTACAAACGCCAACTCCGTCTCAAACTTTAGAACGTTATTAGCAGAAAAATGACACGTTCTCCAACTGGTTTAGACCTACAAGTCTAGACCAGCTCTTTTCCTCAAAGGGATCATGTGAGTTTGTGTATGAAGATGCTCACCGAGCTGTTGCTGTTGAATCTTTGTACTCCTGTTTGCACAGAATGCTCAGTTCAGTTCAGTTCTCATTGTAGGGGGGCTTGTGTCCACAGATGTCGTTTTAATCAGAAACACAATTTTACATTGGCGCAACGTTTCTCACTTTTTTATATGGGATTCTTTTAATTTTATTTACATTCTGACACTTGTCAGATGCAGTTGTGTGGTTTGATTTTTCACCTCGACATGTTTAAAGCTATTTTCTGCTATTCTGTTGTAGTTGTGCAAAACATATTTTATCAATTTGTGATTTTAAAACCACTTTTTAACGACAGAGGTCTTGGAATGTCTGATCATTTGTGTTTTACGGTTAAAATATTTGGATTAAAAACATTGGTTGTGATTAATAAAATAGAAGAAAAGCTCTTTTTTTTTCCTGTTTAGTGGTGCCCAATAATCAGTCTGCATCAAAACTCATCTTTAAAACTCTTTTCTTTTTTGCATTCTCTTTATTGTCCACCATCTACACTTATCTTTTTCCGTCACTCCATTTTGGGGCTGCGGTAGCTCAGCGATCAGTGTCACTGGCTTGTAATCCTGATGCTACAGGTCGGACCCAGATTAAATCTGGTATAAAACAATTACCAAATATTTTGTGTGAATTCACTCTGCATGACGAGCCTTGCAGAAAGGAGCAGCTGAAAGTGAAACAAGAACTTTATGTTTTGGGACACAATGCTTTCAAATTCAGAAAAGGTTTGTCACTATGTTGTGACAGTTTTACAGGGCTTCCTATGTTTGTGAATTTTTATCTGGGTGTCCCTCCTGACAAGTAGGATTTTATTGAGTTACTTCCTGTTGTTTTTTGGTTTTTTTACATATACATATAACCCATCACACAAGGGCCATACACTACAACGTGTAGACCCTTTGGTACAGAGAATGACAATTTTTTTCCACACATAAGACCAACCACATAATATTTACATATATATTTTTCAATGTCCACAAAACAACATATTTCAGTTTCGCATTTTCACTGTTCAGAAACGAATAAAGACAAATTGCTTCCCCTCAAAAAAAAAAAAAGTGTCCATGATTCTTCCCCAGAGCTCAAAAGGCAGGCAATGGCTCCCACACAAATTGCCCCAGAGCATGAGCTGTGAATATACAAAAATATATAAAGGCCCCATATACAGTTTCTGTATTAATGCACATAAATCACAACATTACAGAAAATATTAATTAGACTTACAGGTCATATGATAAAAATCTCAGAGGCTGAACCAGGTGTAGAGGGATATGGGGCTGGATATATATGTAAATTATCAGTTATGAGTTCTGCTCATAAGATATGCATTTATTATGCAAATAACCTCGTTGTGTGGGCACCACCTCTGTTTTAGAGGAAAAATCAGTCTCTATTTAACCCCAAATTAAATGTAAACTGAAACGTGAGTTCTTTCTCGTGTTTAAAGGGCATCAAACCAGTTAATACACACAGATATGCCAAAATAATCACAAATTCAGTTGAGTTTATGTATTTTATTATAAAAATAATAATCTGAGATATATGTGAAAATTATACATAACAAACAAATGAATAACAAATAGCTTTGTATCAAATGTCTAATTGATTATTCAAATCAGTGAAACCTAAAAAGGCAGATTTTGGACTGGTTCTGTTTGTGAAGTAGTTAAAATTGTGTCTAAAGTGAGCTGTAGTTTGTCTGATAAGATTATTGTGATGTATGATCACCAGAAAGGCATTGAAGATCTCTTGTCCTACCAGGATGAGATGGTCAGGAATGGTCCAACAGCTGCTTAAAAATGGTACCAGCCCAGATGTTCTGGTGACTGAGAGGCTGATTTTTCATCAAAGTTCACCTGTCATCGTAGAGGGACGAGGGTCCATATGGGAGTCAGCTGGGATTTTTCCACTCCTCTGCAGTGTGATGGTTCTGGTTCGGTCAAGTTCTGTGTCTTTCTCTCGTCCTGAGACGTCTGCAGAAAGGATGCTTCTCTCTTCTCTTGAGTTCAGTGCAGAAACTGGGTTTCTTCTCTCCAGTTCTGAGCTCCAGTGAAGTCTTCTGAGACGGAGCCTCGGTCAGTGTAGCAGAAGATGAGAAGAAGATGTGAAGAAGCAGTGAAGAAGTGAAACTTAACTTAACTGTCTGTGTGTTACAGATTGACTTTGGTCCACCTCTCAGAAGAGGGATGGTCCTAACTCTTGGCTTTGTTTTTTATAAAGGCCAATTAAATAAATGTAGTCCTTTTCTCTCTGCCTTAAAAGTTACATTTAAAAAAAAAAAAATAAGACAAATGATTCTTAAAGAGAGATTACTTAAAACACACATTTTCATGAATAAACATTCAGGTATGAAATAAAACTGAATCAATGTTATCAAAAGGTGTCACTGTCCATCCCCTGAAAAGTAAACGTAATTAAACGAAGAGGTCCTTATGGCGTTATCTTCATGGAAACGATTCTGGGAGAAGTACTCCTTTTGGATAAAGGAAGATAAAGTCTCAGCAGATGTTTCAAACTTCGAGGTCAGTTGAACCAAAGCTCTCATTAACACGATCTGTCCGTTTCATGGGAAATGAGTTCATATTGGCAGAGGTTAACGCAGTGACAGTTTTTTTAAATACATTCACATTAGTGTCAACTAAGAAGTTTGTGAACTGAGTTGAACATTTGTAAAACAAAGTCTGTTTGTTCCCAAGGGAATAGACGCATCTTATTTTAAACGGTTTCAAACACAAAAGCACATGAATGATGTTTGTTTGAGATGAACAGTTTTCTGAGAAGAGGTGTTCTTTTCTGAGGTGGTGTTCCCCTACACAGGATTCAGTTTTCTTCTATTATCTGCTCTGGACGAATATCACATTTAAACATGTTTTATTTTCTATAAGGGAGTGCAAACAATTTGTCATTTTAAGTTTTGATTAGTTGTAAAACTTACGAGCAAACTTTTGACTCGATGACGTCACTGGTTTCCGGCACTTCCGTGTTGACACGTCGGAGCAGCAGGAGCAGACATATTTATATTATTTTACTGGATTTTTTTTTATCAATCCCACAACGATGTATCCACCCAGGTATACCCAAAACACGAGGGTTAAATGGCCTCGGATTTATTTTAATGGCTTCTGTATGCATCTGTTGGACAGAAGGGTGGATGCGGCTGCTGCTCTTGCAGTCTGGAAAGAACGGTCATCTTTATAAACAGGACAGGAATCAATTTTTAACAGCTGACAAATCAATTAGTATGAGAAACAGGTGTGTTCGGGGCGTGTCTTAACGTGAAAGGATGATGGGGCTGAGGGAGAAAACAAAAGAGAGTGCAACCAGCTCGGTGCAACAAGCGAGCTGTCACCATGTTATGGCTTCAAGTTGGTCAGAAGCTTTCAGAGGCTGCAGAATGTTTCACCTCATCTTCCTCAGCTTCATCCCTGCGTTCAATCTGGCTTGTGTTGTCTGCACTGTAGCTTTAGTGTGAAATTATATATTTAAGGTTGATTGTCTTATTTTATAAACAACTGTTTGATGTGCCACCTTTTTTTTTAATGATAAATGGACTGTACTTATATAGCACCTTTCTATCTTATCAAGGCACTCAAAACTCTTTACAACATGATCTGTGTCCTCATTTACCCATTCATACCCTAACCCTCTACTAGATCTGATGCATGCTCTACTAGATCCATACCATCCATGGGACACACATCCAAGGCAATGAGTGTTCAGTTTCTTGCCCAGGGACACTTCAGCATGTGACTGCTGGTGGAATTGAACCCCCCAACTCTCCCATTGGAGGATGACTGCTCTAACCACCCAGCCACAGCTGCCCCTTATTTTTAAATAATATCTTCAAAGTCAGACATGTTTGTTAAGGTTCACTGTTGTCTTAGTCCAAGCATCCTTCAGACTTTTTTTGTAAAGTTGTTTTTGTCTCCTTGCAGGAGCACCTGTCATACTTTCACTTCGTAGGCCGCATCATGGGGATGGCAGTGTTTCATGGCCACTACATCGATGGGGGCTTCACTTTACCGTTCTACAAACAGCTGCTGGGTAAACCCATCACTTTGGATGACATGGAGTCTGTCGACCCCGACCTGCACAACAGCCTGGTTTGGATCCTGTACGTACAAGACACATTTTATTCAAAATCTGCAAACTTAAACAACACGACTGGATCATTTAAAACACATTAGTTCCATTAAACAAATAAAATAATATACTTAAGATGTATTTTCAGCTTCAACCCTAAACTTCTCCTATATCTTGATAACAGTGCCCCCTAGGGGTTTGTGTTTTTACACTTTTTTTTTTTTTTTTTTTTTTTTTTTTTT